TTCACATTATTTATTCTTCCTGTCCATGAGCAAGGGATGTCTTTCCATTTTCTGAGATCATCTTCAATTTCTTTTTTCAGTGTATTATAATTTTCCCTGCATAGGTCTTTCACTTCTTTTGTAAGAGTAATTCCTAAATATTTCATTTTTTTGGTTGCTAGTGGGAAGGGTGTGGCTTCTCTTATTTCCTCTCTCTGTGATTTTGTTGTTAGTGTGTAGGAATGCTATTGATTTTTGAGTATTGATTTTGTATCCAGCTACATTACTGAATTTATTTATTATATCTAAGAGTCTTTCAATGGAGTTTTGAGGGTTTTCTATGTAGAGGATCTTGTCATCTGCAAATAATGATAATTTAACTTCTTCTTTTCCTATCTTTTCCCTTTTTATTTCTCTCTCTTGTCTAATTGCTCTGGCTAGTATTTCCAGTACTATATTAAGTAGGAGTGGTGATAAAGGACATCCTTGTCTTGTGCCTGATTTTAAAGTAAAGGCTTTCAATTTTTGGCCATTTAGTATGATACTGTCTGTTGGTTTGTCATAGATGGCTTTTATTATATTGAGGTAAAGATAATCTATTCCAATTTTCTGTAAAGTTCTTATCATGAATGAATTTTGGACCCTATCAAAAGCTGTTTCTGCATCTATAGAAATGACCATGTGATTCTTACTTTTGGCTTTATTGATGTTGAACCATCCCTCCATGCCTGGGATGAATCCCACTTGGTTATGGTGTATAATCTTGTTGATGATTTACTGCATCCTATTTGCCAATATTTTATTGAAGATTTTTGCATCTGTGTTCATTAGGAGATTGGTCTATAGTTCTCTTTTTTAGTTGGTCCTTTCTCAGGTTTGGTACTAGAGTAATATTTGATTCCAGGAATGACTTAGGAAGGATTGCTTCCCTTTCAATTTCATTGGAGAGTTTGAGGAGTGTCGGCCTTAGGTCTTCTTTGTATTTCTTGTAGAATTCTGCAATGAATCTGTCTGGGCCTGGGCTCTTCTTGTAGGTAAGGACTTAATTACATTTTCAATTTCATGAATAGAAATTGGATTATTCAGCAGTTTTACATCCTCTTTACCTGGCTTTGGTACTTCATTTGTTTTTAGGAACCTGTTCTTCTGTGTTATCAAACCTTTGGGAGTAGAGGTTTTCGAAATAGATGTGGATGATCTTCGTATTTCTATAGTCTGTCTGTAGTGATTTCACCTTTTTCATTTCCTATTGCATGAATTTGAGCTTTTTCATCCATTTTTTAAAATAAGGTTGGCTACATCCTTATCAATTTCATTTATTCTTTCAAAGAACCAACTCTTTGATTCATTGATTCTTTGGTTCTTTGGTTTGTTTTCTTAGTCTCTATTGCATTAATTTCTGCTCTGATTTTTATAATTTCCTCCCTTCTTTTGGCTTTGGGCTTGACTTGCTCTCCTTTTACCAGATGTTTGAGGTGTAGCACCAGGTTATTTATTTGTATGCGTTCTGTTTTCCTTATATGGGAACTCAGTGCAATAAATTTTCCTCTGAGAACAGCTTTCATTACATCCCACAGATTCTGGTAAGTTGTATTTGTATTTTCATTTGTTAATATATGGTCTATGTTAGAGAATGACCCATGTAGTGCTGAGTTGAATGTGTATTCTGATGTTGTTGGGTGGAACACTCTGTATATGTCTATCAGTCCATTTGTTCACAGGTGTGACTCAGTTCTGTTATTTCCTTGCTAATTTTCTGTCTGGTTGATCTGTCCCTTGGTGTCAATGGTGTGTTAAGGTCTCCTGTTACAATTGTGTTACTGATAATTTGATTTTTTATTTCTGTTAATACTTGTTTTATATAACTGGGTACTCTCAAATTTGGTGCCTATATGTTTAAGATAGTTATCTCTTCCTCTTGAAGTTTTCCCCTAACAAGTATATGGTGACCTTCTTTGTCTCTTCTGATCATTATTGGTTTAAAGTTCACATTGTCTGCAAACAGAATGACTACTCCTGTTTTTTTTTGTTGTTGTTTTTTTTTTGTTTTTGTTTTTGTTTTTTTGGTTCCTGTTGTGTGAAGTATTGTTTTCCATCCTTTGACTTTCAGTCTGTGAGTATCCTTTTGGGTTAGATGGGTTTCTTATAGACAGCCTATGGTTGGAATTTTTTTCTTGATCCATTCTGCCAGTCTGTTTCTTTTAACTGGTGCATTGAGATCATTTATGTTAATGGTTGGTTATAAGTGTTATATGTTGGTTTATTGTTGACATGGTATCTTTCTGCTGTTGCATCTTTATCTTTCTGTTTTATTTAATTGTCTGGTTTGCTTAGTGGTTTTTTCCTAAGTGTATCTAAACTGTCTTTCAATATTTCTTGCAGGGTTAGTTTGGTGATCATGAAGTTCTTCAGCTGTTCTTTGTCATGGAAGTATCTTATTTCTCCATCGATTTTGAAGGACAGTTTTTCAGGGTACATCAGTCTTAGTTGGAAATCATTTTCCTTTAGGATCTGGAATACTTCACTCCATGCTCTTCTTGACTTTATGTTTGGTTGAGAAGTCTGCTGTGATTGTGATTGGTTTTCTGTTATAGGTGATCTGTCTTACTCTCTGACAGCTTTTAATATTCTGTTCTTTTGTTGGATTTCTGGGATGGTTATTATTATATGTTTGAGTGTAGTTTTATTTTCATTATGAGTATTGGGAGTTCTATATGCTTCACTGATCCTGATGTCGGTTTCCAATCTTATGTTTGGGAAATTTTCAGCTATTACTTGTCTAAATATCCTTTTGATATCCTTTATGTCATCCCCTTCTTTTTCATTAATCCCTATCAATCTTATGTTTTTTTTTTTTGCATCATCTTGCAGTTGTTCAATTGTTATTTCCTGATTCTTTATTATTTTTAAAAGAGCTATCCTTTCCTGTTCACTAGATGCAATCTTGTGTTCAAGGTCTGAAATTCTACTTCACTTTCATTGAAGTGGTTTTTACAGCTTTCAGTGGAATTTTTCATTTCCTGTATATCTCTGTGCATCTGCTTTATGTATTCTGTTTGTTCCTTATATTGCTCATCTAGGGATTCTTTTTGTTTAGGTCTTCCAATTTTTAACTGAGTTTTTTTTAGGTATATTCAGCATCTCTTTCATTTCTTTTATCATTTCTTCTTTTACATGGAAGGTTATTTCTAGTTTGAATTCCTTTAAAGCCTCTTGGAGTTGCTTGTTTATTTCAGTTGCTATTATGTCCAATATTTGATGTGTATGGCATATATTTTCTTCTACATACATAGCTCCTAAGGTTTCTTTGTATGGGTTGGAGTTTTGAGATTGTAATTTGGTCTTTTGTTTTGTCATTTTCCTGTATTTCTGTGTTTCATTTTGAGTGTTATTCTAAGGCTTCCTCAGAGTGTTGGAAATCTTCTTCCATGGCCTCAGCTCCTGGGACTCTGACACCAGTTCCCTGGATTGACAGAGGGTGACTGAGGGTGGAGCAGGCCGGCCCAAGCCCCATTTCTGGAACCCATGGCACCAGCCTGCTTGCTTAGCACTCCACAGCTGCCAAGCACAGCCCGGAGAGGGGATGCTGAGGCCTTCTCCCGGGACCTGCTGTGCTGCTCCAGTGCACCTGAGAGCCATGAGGTTCCCTGGCCAGGACCAAGAGACGGTCCCAAACTAGCTGCACCTGGGGGACAGTGGGCAGGGCACTTACACTAGTGCCTCTGGAACTGGTGGCGCCTGCCTGCTTGCTTACAACTCCACAGTCCTGCAAGCACAGCCGGGAGCGAGGAGGTGGATGCAGGTGCCCCAGACCTGTTGAACTGTTCTAGTGCACCCAGAAGTCACGAGGGTCCCAAACAAGCTGGGCTCAGGGAAAAGTGCACAGGGCACTTACCCTAGGCCGCTGGGCCTTTGGAACCGGTGGCGCCTGCCAGCTTGTTTAGAATTTTTCACAGTCCTCCAAGCACAGCCAGGAATGGGGAGACTGATGCAGGTGCCCCAGACCCGCCGAGCTGTTCCAGTGCACCTGGAAGCTGCAAGGGTCCCATACGAGCTAACCACTCAACTTTCTAATAAATATCCTTAATTTCTTTTCTGTGCTATAAATAAAGTAAACTAATGACTTCCTTTATAAAGTCATGGCCAAATGCAATGTAATATTTATAAATTAGGCATAGTCTTTTACATCTGTGAAATGAGGCCATGCCCAATGTTATGTTTACACTCTTAGATCATAGTTAGATTTGAGGGCCCTCTGATTTTTTGATGTAATAATGAAGGAAATTTAAATCCTGAAAAACAATAAGCTGGCTTGACAGTGTTAGAGTCAGAGATTAACAGTATGCAGTAAATATTCAAGTTTCAAATATTCAAGGCCAAATACAAAAACACTGGGAGTTCATTGCAAAAAAATAGGAATTCAATATGTGTTTTTTAAAAAATTGAATTCTCAGTCTCTATAACTTGGTCTCTGTGTTTGAAGAGCAGAGAACAAGTTTTAAATTGACAAAAAAAAATGAAACATAATCCTGGGAGTTGTTAACACAGGAATATTTTAACTATGAATTAGCTATGGCAGAGTCATGTTCTCATCATAATCAGTTCTTAACATTTTTTCTTATTTTAGCATTTCATGTTTTCTTAAAAGTGTTATATTTCTGTATTTTAAAGACTCTGTAAGCAATGAATACAATACAACTCTCAGAACATCTGTTACATGCTTCAAAGTGTTTGTGTAATCTGTGTACCCTTATGTTCAATTCACTTCTTTGAGATTGTGTGAAAAACTAAAAGAAAAAAACAAGGAAAGTTCTTTGTGTTGTATATTATCAGTCACATTAAATAGATCAATCTTAGAGTAAGAGATGCAAAAAAAAAAAAATAGAGATGTGCTTAAAACTGTTTTATTGCCCACCAAAAACTTAGAATCTGCACTTGTCTGTTTCCAATAAGCCACAGTGGTATGTGAAGATGTGTAATTTCTTCTGTAATTTATTTTCTAAATTTAATCCTACTGGTAGGAATTTGTGGGGAGCAGCTGAAGCTGGAGATCAATCACACATGTGGAGCCAAAGCAAGGCCAGCCTCAAGAACACGGAGTACCCAAGGTGAGCCACATAAACAAGCTGTTCCAGAATCCAAGAATGTGAGATACCCATTTGAGTCAGGAAAACAAGTTGCTAGGCAGAGGGGGTGAAATTCACAGCGATTTGTCCAGTGTGTAAAAAACACGCTACAGTCATTGGGACGTTCTTTTTCTCCCAGCAGGAGACAGGGGCCCCACTTGACCTCAGCTTTCTATATTCTGACTCATGGCTTCATGTCTTAATCTGGCACCATCTTCCTCCCCAGGAATTTTGAGAGCTGTGCTGGATGTGGCAGGAATTCAGCTGATTCTAGCCATACTGATCAAGATTAAACCAATGCTCAGAACTTGTATACAATTCTTGAGGATCTCTAAGTGGGAAAGATTTGACTCAGTCCAACTTAGTCAACAGTACTGAACTGGACTCCAGCAATTGGCAATATTTTATGTATTATGCAAAGTGTTCCACAGCAAGGAACAAATCACTTAGACCCAAGGCATGTATATTCACTGGGAGTGGAGATAGATAATTAATGTGCTTTCCAAGACAGGACAATGTTTCAAGCATTAATTTCATTTTCTGTAAAATAAAAATAATAATACTTTGCAGGGATATTATGAAGACTACCTGATTAAACATGTCGAATGTGCTCATGAGACCCTGGCATGTGGTAGAATTTAAAATATTTTAGTTACATTATTTTTCTCTAAATGGAAAAGACAGACTAATCCTAGACAAATGACTACAAAACTGATCCTTTTCTATGTGAGAGAAGAGAAGGCTTACCCCTATACCCCTAGCCTGCTTTCATTCTGTTGTGGCCAAGGAGGCAGGCGTTGTTGACACTGCTAGCTTTAATCTCCATGACAATTTTCAGTGGGATGAAGACTGAGAACAGCAATCTTGGTCAAGTGTCAGATGTTCTTGGATGCTCAATTGATATTAATTAATCCTCAGTGGCAGCATTTTGGCAACAGGACTATCAGTTGCATTAAATGGATCAAGTTGTGTGACCTTTCATGCTAGATAAAATTACTCAAATGATTCCTTTTTTTCAGCCAAATGCTTTAGAATGCTCTTAGGTTTTGGCATATTTCCCTGTATACTACATTTTCCTGAGAAGTCTGCAGTTGACATCTTAAATGTGTTTGTGTTAAGTAAGTAGATTCTGAGGCATTATATATTCACTTTTGATGATAAGAAAAATCCAGATAGGTATTATAAAGATGCACAAATTCTCTTCTGAGCTATATAAATGCTCAGCAGGACAGCAAACAATCTCCTGCCTCCTACTTCCAATCATTAATAAGACTGGTGGCCATTCAGCACGGCCACTCATTATGACAAAAGGTCATTGATGGCAAAACATCTCTTGGCAGATAAGAAGCTTAAATTTAGTGCATTTGGTAGCATCAGGTTTATATCACTTTTTAGTCCCCCCTCAACTTTCCTTCTGTTGTTTATAAAAGGGTTTATTATGTGATTTTATTCTTATTTGAAATGAAGGTGGCAGGAGTTGATCATAAAAATGAAGCAAAGAAGTCCTACCTGGCTTTATTTTTGTTGGGAGATAGTGTTGATGCACGGACCGTGATACAGACCTTTTACAAGGAATCAGCACATGATAGTCTGGTCATTTTTGGGGACCCTACAACTGCATTTTCTTGAATTTTATATAACTATAATTTAAAAATCTGCTATAAAGACCACTCTGAAGAATTTGGTAACAATAGTTATTTTGTAACTGAAGATACTGTTCTTACTGTTAATATTTTGTGTTTTTGGATCTATGTAGCACTTGCCACAGTATATTCAAAAGATCAACTTACTTTTCTCTCTCCTATATTTTAAGATTTTTTCATTGTACCCTTTCTTCTGGAATTATGATCTTCACAAAGTAATCTCTTCAATGAATATTTGTTGAATTAGGCAATGGTGAGGAGTAGGACAGAAATGATACCAGTGTTACTAAATTTTACAGGGTTACTCCGATGAACATTCGTGTTTTTATATATGTTCTCCCTATAGAACTAGTGGGTTAGTCTTGAGTAATTTGGATGTATCCGTCAGATAATCAAATGTCTCAGGAAAGCCTTCCTTCATGCTATTGTTTTGTTTGTAGCTTTATGGGTACAAAGACTGTGGTTGCTTTTACTTAGCATAGTATTTGCAGCACTCAGTACAGACCCTAGAATGCTGACGAACATAAAATGCATGTTGAAATGACACTTTGTGCTCTGGCTTTTCTTCTTCCCTATTCAGGCTATCAAATCGCCTAGGTTGTCATCCCGTTTCATTTGGACCATGTTCATTAGGCTGGTGCTGGATGGCCTACAGCCATGTTTCTCTGCTAGAATTGTTGTTATGCACAGCTGACAAAATAATTTACATAAAGCTGTGCTCATGCCGTAAACTTCCTGTGTCCAGATTGTCTTTAAATTTACACCTGTGTATAAACTTTATACAGGAACTTCTAAATTTCACACCAGTTGTTCTTCATCTTCTTTTGAATCTCATCTCCTAAAAATTCTTTGTACTACTGCTACCTTCTGAACATGTGTCTTTCCAAATTCATGACATTAGTATTCACTGTGGGTTTTTTTTTTTTTTTTTTTGATGGATTCTGGAAATCAAATTCAGGATGATTTGTTAGGCAGCTGCTGTGCCACTGAGCTATATCCCCAGCCCCTCCTAGTGATAATATTAGGAAGTGGGACCTTTGTGAGAAAATTACAAGGCCCTTAGAAAAGAGGCTTGAGGGAGACTGTCTCTTCTGCCCAGTAAGGTCACATAGAAGGTGCTGTGTACGAGGAGGTGATCCTCAGGAGTCAGTGAATTTCCTGACAGATTGAGCATGGTCTTAGTTTGCCTCCAGAACTGTGAGCAATAAAGTCTGTTGTTAAGTACTCCGTTTTATATTATAGCGGTTGAATAGACAAAGATGGAATTATTTGCTTTGAGTTTATTCATGTTTGTCTCTAGCCACACCCAGCTTCATTAGTTTTCTCAGTCCTAAAGGCTCAGGTCCTCACTACTGAGATTATACTGCACAAAGCCATGAGCTTTACAGGGGTGAAAAAGACTCGGTAAATGTTTCAGTTGTGTGAAAGATGAACTCAGTATATAAACAGTGAGTCACATGAGAAAATTAAAGAGAGAAAGTAAATTGGAAATTATTAAATAATCTGAATTGAAGTGCAAAGTAAATATATTTTACTTATTTTTTGTGATGCTGGGGATTGAACTCAGGATTTCATAAAAACAAGTATATTTAAGCTGATTGTAGGAATAAAGGCTTTCCTGAGACTAGCAGGGAAGAGGGAAAGAGCACAAAGCCATGAGACAGAGGCCTCCCATGCTGCCTCACTGCTGCCTTGGTGAGGCGCTGAGCTGGAGGAGGGAGGGATGAGTTTTGGAGGCAGAGGAAGCACCTGGGAAGCGGGTGGGGGAAGATAATGCAGAGAAGGGTGAACTCGGCAATGCTGACTGTAACACTGGGCAGCTGCGAGAAGTGATGGGCCAGAGCCTGATGACAATTAAAAACTAAAATATCAGGCTTCAAAGGCTGATTTCTTGGGATCTCTTTCAGATTTCATCTTTCTTGAATGCTATTTAAAATACATGATAATATCTTGATCTATCTATGATATTCTACCTTTTGGAGTAGAACCTGCCCCCAATTCATTTTTTCCTGGAGTCTATTAGAAAACTGCACATTTTGTTCACTGGAAACTATCGGTATAGTGGACCTATAAAGTCAATTATTGGGACAATTTTTATTCTGAGAAATTATGAATGTTAATAATAGAATTTATTTATTTTTAATGAAGTGCAAAATAAAATATAATATTCATCCATGAAATACTTCCAAAGTAACTTTTTACAAATGTATTATCATGGATTAGAAATTTCTACTATCATGAGATTGTAAATTACTGAACATGAAAATATGTGGAGCAGATTTAGCCACCTGAAAAGCCAATTAATATACCAGATCAAACTCTTTAGAAAATATCATGTGATAACTGGGTATGGTGGCATGCACTTGTAAGCCCAGAATTTGGGAGGCTGACGCAGGAGGATTGCCATGAATTCAAGGCCAGCCTGGTTTGCATAAATGAGTTCAAGTTCAGCCTGAGCTACATGGTGAAACCATGCCTCAGTACATACATGCATACATACATACTTAGCAGCAGCAAACAGAAATGTGTAAATGACACCCAGGATTTGGATGCAGATGTATTTAACGTCCAAGAAGCAGTGACAGGGAATCAGTTGTTGTTCAAAATGTCAGGCCCCAAAGGCTTAGGAAGGGGCAGTACAGTGGCTGAGTACATGTCTGTGTTTGGTTCTTACAATATGCATCATGGTGACCAGCTGTTTCTATGAGACAATAGTAGCATTTTATGCCACAAAATAAATAAATAAATAAAATTTTGCATGGCACATCTCTGGAAAAATGTCTGGATATGAGCTGAACATTAACAGAATTATCTTTCATATTTCAAATCAGAAGCAGTGGTAAATATTTGGAAATTATAGAGTAAGACTTTCAATTATTTAAAAATGAATGTAAATTTCAAAAATTATTGTGCAGAATTTGATAACTTAGGTGCCATAATTAGCATGAAAAATCCTTGTTGGTATTCTTCCAGCATTTTTAAAATTTCAAGGAAAATGAAGTCAAATTTCAATAGATAGATAATATTGCCAAATGGAATGACTGAAAAGCAAATAGACTAGAAAATAAGTCAATCTATTGTTGCTTAGTTGAGATTGCTAATAAAAATTCTAAATTTCATTTAAAAATCTGTAACTTTATGTTTCATTTCTCATTTTTATTTAATAAATTGTATTGTTTATAACATAAGAACAAAACATCTTTCCATTATCAAGTTGAAAAATTTCTTATCAAATTAAATTTCCTATCTCAGGTGTAAAAATTTTATTTCTAAAAGATTACACCTGTACACTCCAAGGAGTAAACATGCAGTTGATTTCCTTTCTTTTTAAAATTTAAT